TTGGTTACCGTTTAAATTGCTTTCTTTCAGTAACCAATTTGTTAGTGTTTTGGATTTTCTCATTTTGGCAGGGTGTCCTCTTTTGTGCGGGACCTTTGGCATTGTATTGTTCTGTACGGCACTGATAAGGGAGTGTTGTTTCTGACAAAAAAGGCAGAGATTCTTTCCATTGTTCTGAGTGGTGCTCTCTTAAGGGAGGAGGCAGCTCTGGGGCAGCCTTCTGTGAAGGGAAGGGAGTGACCATTGGAGTCCACTTTTCCCTTTTTCCCTTTGTTTCCCCGTTTTTCTTTATTGAACACTGGAAAGAGAACCACCTAGCCTTGCTCAGTTCCCTTCTGCATAGTAGGGTTGCCAAGTCCATCTACTACCCCCAGCGGGGGACTTTGGGGGCGTTCCTGGAGGGATGGGGCATCCCCGACGTGATGACGTCATGTTGGGGAAGTCTGCTGCCCCCCACCCACCCGCCCATGCGAGAGAGATGGGTGGCTGTGGGTGTTGGGGGTGGGGGTGGGGCTTTCCCCACCGGCCATCTGGCCGGCAGTGGGTAGAACCCCCCCAAAACGGGGGACCTCTGGCAAACCGGGGGGGGGGGTTGGCAACCCTACTGCATAGTCAGCTAGCCAACTGAAGTTGGGTTTAAAGAGAAGTTTGCCTGGGAACTACAATAACTTTGTTTATGTAAGGTGAGATTTCAAAGATTGCCTTACTGGTTACTGCAGGTCTTGAGGGGCTACAGGTGTCCTGTACCACTCTCCTTCTGAGCGCCCTTGCCAAAAGCAGCGGTTTAAATGGCCATTGGTTTATCAATGGATCAGCCTGAGGCAACTTTTCTTGATTAGTCTATCGCCTTGCCTTGGAGAATTCTGTGGTTGCAGGGCTCCAGTCTTCTTCAGCCTGAGAAGATTCACCCACAGGACCACAGCGGTCTTTGGCAGTTTACTTGCCTGTCAGGGTTGCTAAGGAACATTTTAAAAGGTGGTGTGTACAAACTGATACTGGTTGGAGGAAATCCCACCTCCTCTTCACCTGCCCCCTACCTCTCAGTCACTGTGCCCACCCATCCATTAATGACACCTCAGCTGTCCTTTTATAACTTCCCTCTGGCTTCTAGTCAGTCAGAGGAGAAAAGCATTGGGAAGAAGCAGTGCCCAAGCTGGTGGGGGGGGGGAGAAGTACTTAGAAGCCAGAGATAATGGTTTTAGAGGACAGTGGAGCCTGCAGCTACAGAGACTGGGGTTGTTTCATAGAAAAAGAGCTAGGGGAACTCATTAGCATATGCCACACACCCTGACATCACCGGAAGTGTGTCATAAGGCCACACACCCTGCCCCCAACGGTTTCGGCCGCCACCGTGGGCCTTGCAGCTCCACTGCCGAGCCCCATGAGGGGCCCGGCGGTGGACCTGCAAGGCCGGCGGGAGTGCAAGGAAGCCCCGCGAAGGCCCTCCCTGGCCCCATGCAGGCAGGGGTGGGGAGAGGCGGGGAGGAAGCAACTTACCCTCCCTCTTCTCCTGCCTCCTCCTGGCTGAATGAGGGCCGGAAGCAGGGCGGCCGGAAGCAGGGGGCGGGGCTTTGTCATGTGCCCCACCCCCGTACCTCACCCGGGGGAACTGCGATTCCCGCGATCCCCCCCCGAAATGACCTCTGGGTGAGAATGAACCTTCTCTCCTGCTTGCAAGGCTTGGCAGTTGCAGGCTTATATGTCCTTTTAAAACTCTCCCCTAGTATTTAACCACTCACACTGCAAGAAAAATAGCATTGGAGATGGGTGAGTGGCAGCAAGGAATCCTCCCCAATCCTACCTCCAGTTCTGCTGTTGCTTCCTCCCCTCTTTCCCCACCTATTATCTCTCTCTGTCTGTGTCTCTCTCACTCTCAGTCAGTCAGTTTTTCTCGAGCTGGTGGAGGGGGAGAAGCAGTTAGAAGCCCCCCCCGAAAAAGTTTTAAGAGGACAGTGGAGCCCACAGCAAAAGAGGTAAGTGTGAGAAGCTCAGATGTCCTTTTAAAACATCCCCCTGCTGTTTAGGCATTCATACTGCAGAAGGAACCTTCCCCAATCCGACCTCCAGTTCTGCTTTTGCTTCCTCCCCTCTTCCCCCACTCATTGTCTCTCTCTCTCTGGCTATCAGCCAGTCTATCTCTCACTGTCAATGCGGTGGGGCCTGGAGTATATCCATATGGCGGCTATTTCAAAAGGGGTGTGGGGGGGGAATTCAACCCTGATATATATACTTTTTTTTTTACTTCTTGGATTTTTCTTTAGACCCACAGAGTCTCCTGAGTCTGTAGAAAAACCTGTAGGTGGAGAGTGTGCCCTTTGCGGAAATAAGTATCCACAGACAGAGGGGACTGTTGAGAATTAAATATGTACATCGTACAAAATCATTCACAAAATTACTTGGATAAATTATTAGGAACTGTGGTCGATACTACTGTGTATGGCTTGCTGAAAGCAGGATCCTACTATGTAATTTTTGTATCCTTTAATGTATCATGTTGATACTTATGCTTTGCTTCAGTTCTTTTTTTTTTTAGACTTCTGATTGGTTCTACAACCCTAATCCTATTGCATTGTTTGTTGAATGTCCGATCTTGTCGATTGTATTGACTCACTCTGTGTAATCTGCCTTGAGTCCCAGTGAGAAAGATGGACTTAAATAATGTAAAACAAACAAATAAAATATGTTCCTGCACTGGAATTATTATCACAAGGAGAAGCCTTCCTGACTGTCCCTTCAGTCAAAGAAGTTCATTTGGTGGGAGCGGTGGCGCAGGCGGTTAAACCGCCTGCTGGTAACATCTGCGAACAGCCATTACAGCTGTTCGAATCCACCGCGGCCAGAGTGAGCACCTGGCCCTAGTCCCAGCTCCCGCCCACCCAGCAGTTCGAAAGCACAATTAATATCAAGATGCGAGTAGATAAATTGGGTACCTGCCTTAGATGGCAGGGGGCACCCTTCCCCTTCCGGGGGGCTGGAGGAGCACTGGAAGCGAGACGAGGCGGAGAACAATGGCATCGGCGGAAAGCATGGCGACTGGGCGAAAACATTGTAGCAGTCCAGACGTCGGCGGCGATGGGTGGAGCCAGGTGACGCAAGGAGTGCGTGAGGCGCAGGCATGGGCGGAGCTGTGATGGACTGAGCCGAAGCCGTGCCGATGCGCACCGGGCGCAGGATGGAGCCGCCAACCGTAGCCAACGCCAAAGACAAGCAAAGAGGAGAAGGAGGAAAAAGCTAGAGGGAGCTGAGCCAGCAATGGGCCAAGATGCCGAACTAAGATCAAGAAGAACAACAGCGCCATCTACAGGGTGCTGGTAGGGCAGTCCCCACCCCAATTCAGATGTGGCCATAGGGATAACAGAGTAACTGTAAGCCGTTCAGAGACCCCCTAGGGGGTTCGAGCGGGGTAGAAGCCGAAAGTAATAAATAAATAAATACATGAGAGAGGGCCTTTTCAGTGGCAGCCCCACTATTAAGGAACAACCTCCCCAGGGAAGTGTGCCTGCCCCATTTCCGGTCTAGGTGAATATTTCTGTTGAATTTGTTTCTTGTATAATGAAATTTGATTTATACCTTGTGGCAACTCTGACTTTTCAGTGTAGTAAATACAAAATCTTTCCACACTAATTTCTAGAAATTTTTAACCATGAAACATAGATGCAGTGAAGCTATTTCCACAGAAACAGGAATTGTGTCAAAATGCATTGTCTTCACTTTTTAAAAAAATCAAAAGCATACCTGTCACCAGGCTAAAACTAATGAATATTGCTGTGATTTTGTCAAAATAGCTGATAAGAACCAATTCAGTATTGTTGAATTCCATATGCATGTTATGAAAACCACGTATTTCTTTCAAACCAATTATACTTTGTTTGAAATATTATTTTGATTGGGTGTTATCTACAGTATTCACCTTTGGATCAACTAGCAATGCAATTCTTAACAGAGCTATGACCTTCTCTGTCCACTGAACTTAATGAATTTAGGAGTATGTAACTTTATCTAGGATTCAAAATGTCAGGATATCACCCAGGTACCAAAGGAGGTTATCAAAAGAATTATGAAGAACAGATTTTTTATTTAGAATCATAGAATCACAGAGTTGGAAGGGGCCATACAAGCCATCTAGTCCAACACCCTGCTCAATGTAGGATCAACCATAGAGCATCCCTCACAAGTGTTTGTCCAGCCACTGCTTAAAGACCACCACTTCCATAGGCAACTGATTCCACTGTTGCACAACTCTTACTATAAAGAAGTTTGTCCTAATAACCAGCCGATGATTGCGAGTCCTATCCTCTGCTGCCAACAGGAACAGCGCCCTGCCCTTGTCTAAGTGACAGCCTTTGAAATAGTTCAAGAGGGCAATCATGTCCCTTCTCAACCTCCTCTTCTCTAGACTGAACATTCCCAAATCCCTCAGCCTTTCCTCATAGGTCTTGGTCGCCTAATCATCCTCATCACTCTCCTCTGCGCCCACTCCATTCTGTCCACATCCTTCGTACCCTTTTGTTATTGGCAA